AGCACTCTGGGAGGCCGAGGCGGGTGGATCGCTCAAGGTCAGGAGTTCGAGACCAGCCTGAGCAAGAGCAAGACCCCATCTCTACTATAAATAGAAAGAAATTAGCCGAACAACTAAAAACAGAAAAAATTAGCCAGACTCAGTTGTGTGTGCCTGTAGTCCCAGCTACCTGGGAGGCTGAGGCAGGAGGATCGCTTGAGGCCAGGAGTTTGAGGTTGCTGTGAGCTAGGCTGATGCCATGGCACTCTGGTCCTGGGAACAGAGTGAGACTCTGTCTCAAAAAAAAAAAAAAAAAAAACAACCCAAAAAACCTGGTTGGTTGAAAACCACTAATTTGATTTCCTGAGCCACTAACGGTGGCAGACGCCCACTGATGATACCTCTTGGGGGAACCTTTGCTTCTTCCTCTTGCAGCATAAACTAAACACATGTTTCATAATTTCTGTTGCTGATTTCATGTGATTTTCTTGTTCCACTGTGTTTCTGACAGTTGCCATTTTCTTTTTCCTCTTGGAAGTCCAGGGTATTGAGCCAGGATCTGGGGTGGCAGTTGGGAGGCGGGGAGGGAGAGTACAGCCTTGGTGGCTGGTGGAGGGGTAGTCAGTGTCGGGGCGGGGCTGCCTGGCTAAGTCAACCTTTGTCCTGTCCCCTGGCAGGTGTCGGCAGTGCTCCAGCACCCTAGTTCCTGGGGCTTACAGGAATGGACCTGAGGAAGGTACCTTTGTGTGTGCAGAACACTGTGCCCGGCTGGGCCCAGGGGCACGGTTGGGAGCCAGACCAGGGCCCCCCCAACAGCCAAAGCAGCAGCACCAGCAGCAACTCGCGGAAGAAACCAAGGATGTCCTGGGAGGCAGCCCCAGCCCCAGTGTGGCTGCAGGGGAAGAGGCAGACGGACCCAAAGCCAGCCCCAAGGCCCGGCCCCAGATCCCCACCAAGCCCCGGGTTCCTGGCAAACCCCTGGAGCTGGCCAGCCCCCCGGCTAGCCGCCCCACACCTGCCCCCAGGAAGGCTTCTGAGAGCACAGCCCCGATGCCCCCGACGCCGCGGCCCCGCTCCAGTCTACAGCAGGAGAACTCGGTGGAGCAGCCGGTGGGCAGTGGCCTAGTGAACGGTGAGCTGGGGCCTGGCTGGGGGCCGGGTGCTGGGTGGGCGTGTCTGTTTGTCTGGAGTGTTCGAGGGCTGCTGTCTGTCCTCTGTGCACTGTGATGTGCACTGGTGCGGCGCGAACAAAGCAGACGCGGATCCCGCCTCTGAGCTGCCCGTCCTGTGTGTGCTTTCGTGTGCGTCTTGCCAGCTTCAGTTCAGGGCGTGTAGTGAGTGTACATCCGCATGTGCCTGTGTGTCCCCAGTGTCTCTGGGACTCTGTGCGCATGAGTGACCTTCCTGTGCGTCCTGGCCCGTCCGCAGGCACTCTCCAGGTGACCTCCACGCCCAGCCTGCATGCCTGGCAGGGGAGGGCTTTGGGGGAGGGCAGAGGGGTCAGGTGGGCCCCGGAGCTAGTCTGAGCTACAGTGGAGACCCCTGGCCCACTCTGTGCGACCATTCTCTCCCCCACCCCTCATCGCAGGACGTTCCCACATGACCTCCCTGGATTTCCGTGAGCTCATGGAAACGAGGCTCCTCGTAGCCTGAGGTGTGCTGGGCAGCACTTACCATCCTGTCAGGGAGGGCATCGGGGGCCTGGGCGTTGCAGAGAGACTCCCAGGGTCGCCCTGGGACTTGCACCAGAACATTCTGTTTGTTCGGTTCTGTTCAGCACTCCTGGAGGCTGGCTCTGAGCCCAGTCCTGAGCTGGCCAGGGGAACACAGATACGGTTCAGACCTATTTGTGACTTCAAGGCGCCTCAGTGTGGGGGCGGGACGGCCACAGACACAGGTTTCAGTGGTGTAGAGGTCCTGTTAAGATGGGGAGGAAGTGGGGGCTGTTGTGGGATTCATGAGGACGCTAGGGAGTCCGGGGACGCTTCCAGGAGGAGGTGACATCTGGGCTGAGTTGAGACGATGTTTCCTGCCCATGCTGGGGAAGTGTCTGAGGGGACTTGGGTTCCGTCTCCGGTGTCCTGGCCTTGACCCCTGACTGTTCTCTGTCACCTTTGGTGCTTATCTAATCTCCCTGAGGGTAGGCTGGGGAGGCGCGTGGGTGCAGGTGGGGCTGCCATGGCCTGCCAGGGGCAAGGAAGGGCAGTCCTTGGCGAGGCAGGCACTGTGGCTGCCCCGGGTCCCCGTCTCTGCTGCCCATGAAGGCCTGGCTCACTCTCCGTTCCCGTCTAGGAAGACTGCACGAACCACCTGTCCCCAAGCCGAGAGGGACACCCAAGCCATCTGAGGGGTACGTCGGTCCCTGCGAGGCTTTCCAGCTTTGGGGGTTCTGGTGGTAGGGATGGGGGTGCTCTGGGGCTGGGCGGGGAGCGAGGCTTCCTGTGCATGGGCAGGGCCGGGCTCAGGAGGGTGGCTTGTGTCTGGGTGGGGAAGGAGGACTGTGCCCACGTCCCCTTCCCCCGTGGCTCACCCGAGGACTCCTGCCGCCACCACCTGATCTGCTCCCCAGGTGTCTGCTCCTGTGGGCAGCAGTGCCTGGTGGCGACAGCCAGCTCTGGAACCCCTTCCCCTCTCGGCGCTCCGTTTCCTCTATATGAGAGAGCTGGGCCTCGCTCTTAGAGTTGCTGTGAGGCTTAGCAGCGCAGCATAGAAAGGCCTGGAAAAGCTCAGCTGTAGTTCTGGCTCTCAGGTCCTCCACCCCAGGACCCTGCTGCGCAGGGAGGACATCTGTTCCCAGCTATTCCTTGGGAGCTGTGCTTCCCTGTGTGGTCGGTCTGTGAGGAGCGAGGCGGGCGTGGCTGTGCTAGTCACCAGCCTTTATGGAGTCCCTGGTACTCGGCAAGCGCCCAGGGGCCCCGCCCATCACTGGCCCCGGTAGCTCACTGGATCCTTACACCAACCCAGTGAGGCAGGGGTGGTTATTGTCCCCATTTAGTGGACAGGAAGCCTGACACATAGGGAGGTCAGGTGACTTTCTCAGGTCTCGCAGGTAGTAAATGGCAGAGCCTCTTTTTGGTTCTTTCCTGGGTGGAGTTAGCAGCGTTGTGTGACCTGAAGGCCCAGCTGGGATGCGACTGTAATGGTTCACTTCACACTAGCCCCGTGGGCCTGGGGTGGGAGAAAGGAAGGTGTCATTTCTCATCCACCCCCTTTGAAACAGACTCAAAACTGCCCAGACAGGGAAGGACGCTGACCCGTTGCCTCTGCTAATGTTTTCTGCTGCTTCCTGCCTCTGTCCAGGACGCCGGCTCCCAGGAAGGACCCCCCCTGGATCACACTGGTGCAGGCAGAGCCAAAGAAGAAGCCGGCCCCTCTCCCGCCCAGCAGCAGCCCTGGGCCGCCAGGCAGGGACAGCAGGCAGGTGGAGAATGGAGGCGTGGCAGAGGTGGCCCAGCCGAGCCCAGCGGCTAGCCTGGAGCCCAAGCCCTATAACCCCTTTGAGGAGGAGGAGGAGGAAGAAGAGTCCCCGTCTGGACCCAGCCTGGCCACCAGCCCTGCCCCGGCCCACCCGGAGTCCACGCCCAAGTCCCTGCACCCCTGGTACGGCATCACCCCCACCAGCAGCCCCAAGACAAAGAAGCGCCCCGCCCCCCGCGCACCCAGCGCATCTCCACTCGGTGAGTGCCTGTCCTCGAGCCCTGTGACGGGCGGAACTCCGGGGGCACCTGGGTCGGCCCAGGACGAGGCTGGGTGTGGTGTGGGAGGCCTCTTCAGGCCAGGCCTGGGCGTCCTCTCGTTTAATCCTAGAGCCAACCTGTGAGTGTCGTCACTTTGCAGGTGAGGAGACTGAGGCACAGAGAGGCTAAGTCATTTGCCTGAGGCCTCACAGTGCCTAAGCAATGAAGGCAGGATTTGAACCCACACAGCCTGGCTCGACTCTGTCCTTTTCATTGTCCTGTTGCGCTAATTAAATGTGTTATCCAGTGAAGTGCTTAGCACAGCACAGGGCTCATGGGAAGCACGCACTAGGGGCCAGCTCTGACCCTGCCTGACCCCGTCACTGTCACTGCAGTGATGTGGGCTCTCACCTGGCTGTGAGACTCGGGTACAGTGGCTTTGAGCTGTTCCCTCCCTGAGCTTCCTCAGTCTGCGCATCTGTGAAATGGTGGTGGGCCAGCTCCGGGCGCTGTGCCTTGCGCTCAGGACTTCCTCGCCCAGGCTCGCTGTGCTGTGTGGCCTTCACCTTCTCCCACTCTTCTTATGCCCTGGGCTTGCTCACCTTCCACCACCGCTGCGGTCTGGCTGCCTCCAACAACCTAGGGGGACCCCCTCAGACAGTGGGGCCAAAAGCCTTCTGGAGGTGACCAGATGGTCCGAGTGGAACCCTGGGACCCCTGAGCTGAGCTTGGCCTGTTTGAGTGAAGGCAGTGGGCAGTTTCAGGGTGCAGTGGGGGGAACATGAGCCCTGGAGTCAGACACTGCTGGGTTCCACCCCAACCCCTGCTGGGGCAAGTGCCTTCTCCTCTCTGAGCCTGTTGCCTCATCTGGAAAATGCAGATGACCTACTTGGAAGCATCGCATCCATCATCTGTGGGGAGATAAATTGGTGCTCGGCAGTGCCTGGCGCACAGCCGACTGCTGTGAGGGCTGCCTGCTCCTCCCACCTCTGCCCTGCAGGTCAGAAGCAGAGGAGAGGCCGCCTCGCTTCCCCTGGCCTTCCACGTGCCAGAGTCCCACCATCCTGCCCTGGTGGCTTTGCCTTGGGGTGCGCCCAGGCATGGGGGCGCCATGGGGTGTGTGGGGAAGTGGAGGCAGCAGCCCTGCTGGCTGAAGGAGTGAGGACCGCAGATGTGCCACCAGGCGTCAGGCAGAACACGAGGAGTGTGGGACGAGCTCGGGTGATTGGCTGCACCTCGCGACTTTGGTCCCGCCGTGTGTTTGCTGTTCCCTGGCCTTTGACCCGTCTGGACGTGGAGGGCGTGGGTTTGCAGGGCTCCTGTGGCTCTATTGAGAGTGGAGCATGTTAGGTGAGGCTGGCAGCCCTGGTCGTGCCCCCTGTGAGGTGCCCACTTGCTCGTTTGTACAGCTCTCCACGCCTCCCGCCTCTCGCACTCGGAGCCACCCTCGGCCACGCCGTCGCCAGCCCTAAGCGTGGAGAGCCTGTCATCTGAGAGCTCCAGCCAGACTGCTGGCGGCGAGCTTCTGGAGCCGCCAGCTGTGCCCAAGAGCTCCTCAGAGCCTGCTGTCCATGCCCCTGGCACCCCTGGAAACTCTGCCAGCCTCTCTGCCAACTCCTCCCTGTCCTCCTCTGGGGAGCTGGTGCAGCCCAGTGTGGCGCAGATGCCTCCAGCCAGCCCTGGCCTCGCCCCCAAGACCGGGGGCGGCCTAGCTCCCCTGCCAGCCAAGCCCTGCAGTGGTGCTACTGCAACCCCTCTCTTGTTGGTTGGAGATACGTGCCCTGCGCCTCCCCCTGGAACCTCGTCCCCACAGCTGCAGCTCAAGGTGAGTACCCCTCTCTCCCTCCTCGAAAGCTGCGTCGTCTCTGGTGGATGTGCGACTGGTCTCGGCGGGACAGGGGTGTCCAGGGCCTTCCATCTCTGCTGGTCCCTGATTTCTTGAGTGGCCTTGTCCGTGCCTGTCTACCCATTCCCCAGTGTGTCCACTGGGGCACAAATCCACCTGTCCATATTGCCCCGACCTGTCGGAGCTCCCACCCATCTGTCCACCTGCCCACCCACTTGGCCCTCTGTGTCCTTTGCTTCCGGGCCTGTTTACCTGCCTGTCCCCTGCACTGGCCCTTTTGGGATCCATTCACCAGCCACCATTCATCCCACATCCTCTGTCCACCCTTCCACTCGCCCAGGCTCTGTCACTGCCACACCCTGGGCACAGTTGCATTAAGACCCTGTCCTTGCCCTCCAGCAGCTCACAGTCTGCTCAGCGACACAGGGGTAACAATTGTTCCAGAAGGAGATCTGGGGCAGGGCACAGAGGGGAGGGGCTGACTCCCTTGTCTGGAAACCTCGGACTCCCTATCGTAGACCGGGGCAGCCAGCGTTTGCTGAGCACCTCCTGGCCCTGGGAGCACCATGGGCCTCAGGTGGGGCCTCTGAAAGGGACCCACGATGACGCCTGCTTCTGATGAGCTGGGGAGAGTGGCTGGGAAACACTGATGTGGCCCACGTGTTGGGGCCACCCCGCTGTGCTGGCCTCAGAGAGGACAGCGGTCTCCCCAGAGGGACGGCAGGATGCAGAGCCTGGACTCTGGGCGCATGGGGGTGGGCTGGGCAGCAGAGGGTGGGGGCTTTCTCAGGCAGGGAGGGAGCTACCCTCCTCCTTCATCTGCCGGCCAGAGAGCGTCCTGCTTCTGCACTCCTGGCTGGGTGACCCTGGTGAGCAGCTTCACCTCTCTGAGCCTCAGAGTTCCCAGTGGGGAGAAGGTGGCCGTGTGGCCTGAACCAGCCACTGTAGCCCTGTCCCGCCTGGGCCCCACGTTCTGACCACTGCTCCTCAATGCTGGGTGGCTGCCCAGGCCCTGACACAGACAGTCCCGCCTTAGCTTGGGCCCTTGGGAAGTGTGTGGCCTTGAGCAAATTACTTCACCTCTCTGAACTAGAGTTGAGTCAGCTGTGAAGTGGGAATGACAGCACCCGCTTGGCAGGGCAGCTGTGAGAATTAAACAAGAATGTGTAAAAAGCAGCCCGCGCGGCAGCTGACACGTGGGAGGTGTTCTGGAAAGGTTTGTTGAATGACTGAGTGCAGCAGAGACTGGATTTGGGGAGACTCTTTTTGCCTGGGCCCTCCCGCCCCTGGGGTCCTGGCCTGCTGGGGTCTCGACTGCCCCCTTCCCAGACTTATCCTCCGTCCTGTCTCCCTGCCTTTAGTCTTCCTGCAAGGAGAATCCTTTTAACCGGAAGCCATCACCCGCAGCCTCCCCAACCACAAAGAAGGCCACCAAAGGATCCAAGCCAGTGCGGCCACCTGCCCCAGGACACGGATTTCCTCTCATCAAACGCAAGGTAGCAGCTGGGGGCCCCGGAGACCTGGCTGGCCGGGACCCTGCACCCTCCCCTTGGCAGCTGCAGGTTTCCCGTGGGACGTTTGGAGGGGCTGGGTGTCTGGGCAGCTGCGCTCAGATGTTCAAGAGGGGGCTCTTGGGTGGCCCAGATGGAAGATCTGACTTGCAGCGAGGGAGATTTAGAACAGGTTGGCCCTTTGCAATCTAGAGTGGTATGTGGTGCGTTTAATCTGTTACTAACAATAGTTCAGGTATCAAAGCACTTATAAGATATGCTGCTACTTAAACTGATTAGAGTGTTCTCAAGTTTATCTCTATAATAGGGCTACTCTCACTGACACTGTGATATCCTTCCTGGAGTGGCAGAGAAAGGGGGGCATTTCCATGAAGGGTGGGAAGTTGTACCTCCCTCTGCTGTGTCTGTCCACGCTGGGACCAGTGGCATGCTGTGGCTGTCCCCACACTGACCCCTTCCCCACACTGGGACCCTGCCTTCTTACCATGCTGGCATGGGGGCAGGGCCGGGGCCCCTGGAGCCTGCAGTGGCCAGTGCTGGCCAGAATAAGGGACATAAGGGACAGAGCTCCTGGCAGCAGCCTGAGCCAGAGGGGGACAGGTGGAGGGCGGGGTCAGCCGTCCTTTGGATGACCAGGGTGCTGTTGGGCAGGTCCAGGCTGACCAGTACATCCCCGAGGAGGACATCCACGGAGAGATGGACACCATTGAGCGCCAGCTGGATGCCCTGGAGCACCGTGGGGTCCTGCTGGAGGAGAAGCTGCGCGGTGGCGCGAATGGTGCGGGAGCTGGCGGTTGGGGCTGGGGTGGGAGCCTCTATTCTATTCGTGGGGAGCCGAGCCCGGAGTGGCTGCCAGCCCCGGCCTCAGCGACTGTCTGGCTTCCAGAGGGCCGTGAGGACGACATGCTGGTGGACTGGTTCAAGCTCATCCATGAGAAGCACCTGCTGGTGCGGCGGGAGTCCGAGCTCATCTATGTGTGAGTCCCCCCACCCCCTTGGCCCTGGCTCCCTCCCGGAACGTGTAGAGCTTAGAACCGAGAACCTTCGCCCTCCCCCATCATACTGCACAGGGCAGGGCAGCCGGGCCTCGGGCAGAATTGTTAGTAGTCGCCTCTTTCCCACCCCCAGCTTCAAGCAGCAGAGCCTGGAGCAGCGCCAGGCTGACGTCGAGTACGAGCTCCGGTGCCTGCTCAACAAGCCAGGTGAGCACGGCCACCCACACTCCCTGGCACCTGCCCTGGGGCGAGGGGGCAGGGGACATGGCGGAGTGGGCCTGCTTCTTCCTCTGCGGGCGGGGAGTGGATGGTCAGAGCCTCAGTGGGGGGTGCACAGGCAGACTGGTGACAGGGCCGGGGAGGGGGAGGTGGGAGGGACCGTCTGGGACACTGAGGATAGGAGAGACCGTCACAGGTGGTAAGCAAGCCAGAGCCATAGTGGGAGAGGGAACCGTATGGACAGCATGGGGGTGTGGACATCCGTGGTGTCGGGCATAAAGGGCTCTTGGCGAATGCCAGGCCCAGGACCAGCCCAGCCCAATTTGGGTGTGGGGTCAGGCGGTCCTGTGTTACACCACTTACTTGCTGTGTGACCTCGGGCAGGTTTCTTAGCCTCACTGAGGCTCAGTGGCTTCGAGCGCTAGACAGGATGGAAGGTACCACTCGTAGGGTATTCTTGGGGCCAGAAGATGGCGAATATGGAAACTCTCTGTACCCTCTGAGGTGCTGATGGTTTTTGTGTGGCTGAGTTGGGGTTTGGTGAGGGAGGCCCCTTCTGTGTCCTGTGGCCATGGCATGCAGTGACCTGCAGCTGCAGACGGAGACCACGGACTGTGGAGAGTCCAGAGCTGGGAGCCAGGGCTTTTGACCACTTTCCTATGGCCCAGGCATGGTGCCCACCCTGGGCCATCATTCCCACTTCCTAGATGAAGAAAGGGAAGGCCAGAGAGGTTGAGGGACTTGCCCACTGGCGACAGAGCTGGGCTTCTATCCGTGTCTCTGGCCTGGGCCTGTCCCTGCACACATGGCCACTCCTACCTGCTGGGACGGTGGTCCTGCCTCTCCACTGACTGGGCAACTTGGGAGGTTGGAGTGTCCCTGGGGAAGCCGCAGAATGTTCCTGGCTTCTGCTGCCATCTGTGAGTCACTCCAGACCTCCGGGAGGCTGGGCGCGGCCACCACTCAGGGGGCGCCACAGCGACACCCTGTGGCCGGAGTGGGCACAGCGCCTCTGCCTGGACCTGGGCTTGCTGTGGCTTCTCCCGCCCTGTGGTGGCTGCACACCCGGGGCTTGTCAGCCTGTAGAGGGTGAGGCTGGTTTATAAGGTCCCGAGACCAATATACCATAAGGACCATCGCTTGGGGGTGTCAGGCTGCCCAGGTTCAAATACTGGCTCCACCTTTGTTGCGTGACACTGGTCAAGAACTTCACTTCCCTGAGCCTCAGTTTCCCCACATGTAGACTGAGGACATCACTTACTCAGGTCCCAGATTTGAGAAGTGGCAGAATGGGATTTGAACCTGGATGGTGACTCTGAGGCCTTGCCCTGTCCCCAGAAGTGGGTTAGGTCACCTGCTTCCGAATGTTGGCAGGGAATGTGACAGTGGCTGAGGGGCCTCAGGATACTTATTTCGAGGTGGGAGGCCTATGGCAGCAGCTGTTGTGGAGGGAAGGCCAAGTGTGGGTACCCCTCCCTGCGGCCTGCAGGGCGGGTCAGGGAGGAGGGAATACTGAAGCCCAGGTGGGCCCCTGAGGGTGGTCCCGTGGGATGGCTGGGGTCTTGAGGGGAGAGGAGGCCTGAGGGGCAGCGGGTGTGCATGGCCTCTAGTCTACTCTCCTCTGTGGCCTTGGATGAATGTCCCAGTATGCCACTTGGGTCACGTTGCTTCTCCTGCCTGAGGACCCCGGGGTTCCCTGTTGTCTCCCCACCTGCGCCTCACTCCGGCCCACTCAAATCTGCCTCCTGCGAGAAGCCACCTGGTGAACACGAGCAGGACGCTCTGGCACATGCTGTGCAAGGGGCCCTTGCAGGCTTTGGCTGGGCAGCCTGGCACCTTCGTCTCTTCCGTCACAACCTTCGTTTCCCCAGGAACCTGCGGAAACGGCCCCTCCTTCCTGTGCTCATGGTGTCCAGCGTGGGGCTGGCCCTCAGCGGCCCACAGCACTTCGGCACTGGCCCCTGACAGCCAGCAGGGGTGGTTTTCCCACCACTCACGCCCCCAACTTTTCTCTCTGGGCAGAAAAGGACTGGACAGAGGAGGACCGGGGCCGGGAGAAGGTGCTGATGCAGGAGCTTGTGACCCTCATCGAGCAGCGCAACGCCATCATCAACTGCCTGGACGAGGACCGGCAGAGGTGACATGGCAGAGGGAGGGACTGCCGGCTAGGGGGGTCCTGGGGGAGGCCATGCCTAGGGCCCCATGGGCGGGGCAGCTCCCTGGCAGAGCCCGAGTCACAGCCTTACACACCAGGGCCCAGCCGGCCCTGCCCTCGGCCGGTGATCCCCTTGCTCAGCCGAGTGTAGACTCAGAGGCTGGGAGGGACTGGGATTATCTGCTCCTTCTTCCTGTGGGACGCTCAGCTTCCCTTTCTCTCTTCAGGGAAGAAGAGGAAGACAAGATGTTGGAAGCCATGATCAGGAAGAAAGGTGAGGCCCCTCCTGGGGATAAGGCTGGTTCCTGGGAGTTCTGGCCCACCTGAAATGTGAGCGCAGCCTGGGGGATGGAGGGACGGGGCAGGCGAGGGGGAGGTAGGAGCAGGCGCTGCAGGGGTGGCTGTGCACAAACTCCCAGCCTCTGTTTTGCTGGGGGGGCCGTGTGTGGTGAGGGAGGCCAGCATTCAGCGAGGAAGGCTGTGGCCCGGCTTGGAGGAAGGCCACGGGGTGCCCAGATCCCACAGGCAGGACTGTGGCATATGGGGGGCATTTTCCCAGGGTGGGTTTGTCTTAAGCTGTGTGTTCCTCTTTGAGGGCTGCAGCTGGTTTGGGTGGGGTCTGTGGGGATCAGATGGTGCCTGGAATGGTTCAAAGAGCACTGGACTTGAGTCAGGGGATCTGGGTTTTGATCTTAGTTCCACCAGTGACTCAGTTTGTGGCCTTGTGGTTAAGTCTTGATTCAGGCCAGAGTCAGACTGTGGGGTTCTCGTCCCACCTCTGGTACGTATTAGCTGGGTGACTTGAGCCAGCTGCTCCACCACTCCGGTCTCACTCTGTATCTGCAGAATGGGGGTGACACTGGCCCCCTCCCAGGCACGTACTGAGGGTTACCGAGGTAACCTGTAAAGCACTTAGCCCAGGGCCTGGCCCTCCAAAGAGCTCAGTTGGTATCAGTCCATTTCAAAGGCCCACATTTCCCTTGTCTATGAAATTATGGGCTTGGGCATGATTTCTGAGGTTTCTTTTAGCTTCGACAGTCAGCATTTGTGTTGTAACCCACAGAGCTGTGAGCACCAGCCTCAGTGAATTGGGCCTTTGGTAGACAAATGGCTGCCAGGCTCCAGAGTTGCCAAGTTGTTCTCGTGTGTGTTTATCTCCTGGTCCTTGCCAAAACCTGGGAGAGGGTAGGGTCCCATCTTCTCGATGAAGAAAGGGAGGCTGGGAAAGGTGAAGTGACTTGTCTAGGGTTCCACACGGGAGGTATGGGGCCGGGCCAGGCCCCTGCCGGCCACACGCCCAGGCCTGCGTCACTGCCTCGGGCCTCCCCACTTTGTTAAGTGCTCCCCTTTCTCTGCTGCAGAGTTCCAGAAGGAGGCTGAACCCGAGGGCAAGAAGAAGGGGAAGTTCAAGACCATGAAGGTGCTGAAACTGCTAGGAAACAAGCGTGATACCAAGAGCAAGTCCCCCGGGGACAAGAGCTAACAGTGAGGGAAGCCAGCCAGGGACTGCCACCGCTCCCGGACCAGCCCCTGGGTTGCGCTCTGCCGGAGGGGGTCACGCACCTCCCTCAGATCAGTGCAGAGGAAAGGCGACTTAAGGGAAGGGAGCCTCTAGGTGACGGCCTCTCCCTCCTCAGGGTCCTCCAGCTAGGCTGGGCCAAAGAATCCTCTTCCCTCCTCTCTGAGCCCCAGGCAGCTGTGACTCACCCCTCCCTGTCTGATTCCAATGACTCCCGATGTGGTGACTGACCTGAGGGGCAAACGGATTCCAGCGTCCAGGGAGGAGCAGCGGCCGAGCACGTCTGCTCCCTTGTCCTGCCCATCCCCTGCCGTGATGCGGCAGCTGCTTGGTCCCTCCTCCCTCTGTGCCACATCCAGCTGGGATTCTTGGCTCTCAGAGTTCTGCCCGTGGTGACCTCTGGCCTGGGTCTCCCACCTCCAGGGTTCTGCTCCTCTTGGCAGGCCAGCAAGCTGGGCTCGGCAACACTGGCTTCCTCCTGCCCCAGCCCTGGCTCTGAGTCTCTGTCTTCCTGTCCAGTGCGGGCGCCCCTGACTCCCAGGGTCTCCTCACTCAGGAGCTCTATTTGTGAAGTGTCTCGTTAAGTTTGGGTTCGCTGCTGAGTGGTCTGTGCTGTCAGACACTATGGCCCTCAAGGGCAAATCCCTGCCCTCCCTTTCTTCCTCAGAGTCCTAGGGCGCTTTCCTCATCGTCTCCCCTCATTGTCTGGGGAACCTCACCTCCCAGGGCCATGCTGGGGCAGGTGGTGCCTGCGGGACTCCCCCAGTGCTGAGTCCCCCAGGAAGGGCCTCTGGTTCCTGATCATCAGTCTAGGGACGGTGCTAATCCTGGTTCTTTAACTTGTAGTCTGACCCCTAATGTAGCCTTCCTCCCCGACCCCAGGGCCAGGGGGTGGGGGCCCGTGCCCATTTGTGGTCACCACTAGTCTGTCTCCTTTCCCCAACGCATTCCCACCTGAGGACTGACAGCCACTCGCCCCACTGGGACGGCTGTAGGAGAGGAGGAGTGATGGGGACAACCCCCTTTTCCCCCAGGGAATGTGCCCGGCAGCCCTTTGTCAAAGCACTGTTGCTATAAGCTATCTCTGGGACGCCTCTAGGCCTCCTTCCCTCAACACACCTCTGGGAAAAGATCACACTGTATTAACTTGCGAAGATTTTCCTCGCCAACAATAAACGGAGACGACCTCAGCTGCCAGTGCCCTGCAGCCTCATGCCACGGCCGCCTTCCTGCCTGCCTCTGCCACATCTCGTGGCTGGGCATCTCTGGGTGCCCAGAGAGCCCAGGCCCATGTTGGGGCTGTCCTCCCAGAGGGACCTTGACCCTCACTCCCTGCCACTGGGCAGCATCCTCTTCCTCTGCAGGGAGCCTGTGCAGCCCCTGGCAGCCTCCTCCCAAACATGCCCGTTGACCTGGAGCTGGGGCCACCAACGCCAAGGCCTTTCTGGGGCCAGGCAGGTAACATATGCGAACCGGGCCAGGTGTAACCTGAGGGGTGGCTCCAACAGGCCGTTTCGGTGTTGAGACAAGGGTGGTTGGGGCAGGGGTGAACTGGAGTGTCTGCCACAGCTCAAGGGGACATTCTCCCTCACTCAAGTCAGTGGTAGCCTCTGGAAATGCATGTGGGCCCAGTGTTGCCAGATGTTTTCCATTTTTCATAAGCTGGAAATCCAGCTTTTCTGTGTAATTTGTAAATGTTGACAAATGATTTGAATTTAACAAGAATAGGCAGATACCATGTTGTCAAGGTTGTGCAGAATTTGTCCTGGGGTTGTCCATTTTGCTGCCACATGGTGGGGTCTTCGAGGTGGAGGACAGCTGTTCCCATCGTATCACACCCTCTGCCCTCAGGTTCCCGAGGGTGTGTGGGCACAGGCTTCCCATGCGACATCCCTGAGCCAGCCTTGATCTGGGCCTCTCCACTTAGAGGACCGTATTTATTCTGCAAACCAAAACTTGGGTCATGTGACCTGATAGGATTCTGTGACTCTCTCCAGGTGCAGGAGACAGGGTTGGTTCCAAAATATTTTGGTCATGTATGGAGATAGGAAAATGACAGTACACTGGAGAAGGCTCATGGGTGCCAGAAGCCAGAAGGAAGGGGACCAGTGAACTGTGCACCAGGCCAGGGATGGGGGCTGCTCACCTTGTCAGGTGACTCTTCAAGGGCCTCACAGATAGGCAAACGGGCACTGAGGCTGTGGGTTCTGCCCAAGGTCACATGGCACATGCTGGGCTTGGAGCTCCAAAGCCAGGGCTCTTTCTGTCTGGACCCTTTGTGCTTCCTCCCACCCTTTGTGTTTCTTTCTGTAGGTCATGGGTTTAGTGGAAATACATAAAGCTAACCGTAAACCTGGGTAGGCTACTTGCTAGTTAAATGCCCTTGGTTGGAGTATCTTGGTGAGCCTTAATTTTCACGGAAGGATAATGAACCACCCCAGAAGTTTACTGAGATAATTGAGAGTGAAATTCAGCACCTCCGCAGTGCCCAGCCGTGGGGCACTCAAGAGCAGTGGTTCCCTTTTCCACTTGAAATATGCAAAGAGGTAGCTAGAAGCCATCTGTGCTTGACAAATTCTAACTCCTTGGACAAATAAGCCTTATCCCTCTGAAAACAAAATAGTACGTGTAATGACCCATGTTAAATGTGGTTTATTGGCAGTTAATCATTGTGGTTGAACATTTGCCAAACGTAGTAAGAAGTCAAATAAGTAGATCCTGAGACAGGTTGGAAGAAAGGAATTGAAATCATTCCTAAGTTCAGAAAACTAAATGGGCAGGACACATAGGCTGGAGGTGGCGGGAAGAGGGCCTGGGGCATGCCTTTAGACACACGTCTGAGGTAGGGGATTGGGCCTTGCTTTCACTGTGGATGGGATGGGACTCTCGCCCCTAGAAAAGACTCGAAGTCTGAGTCTGTGACTGTGGGTCTTGGAGGCTCCAACAGCCGACCTCCATGGGCAGGGCTAGGGCGCCGTGTATGTGCCGGAGTACCGCAGGCCAGGGCAGTGCCGTGCAACCATTTGACATGGCTGGGCTGGCCTGGGGACGACCCTGCTTGGCAAAGGGGTGGGCTCAAGGTTGGGCTACCCTGCCCCTGTCCCTGGAGGCAGATTAAGAGGTGGCAAGCGCCTTCCTGAGTTCCTCACTCCGCTTGTGGTCAATGTCTTCCATCTCCCGTAGTTTCTGCAAAGGGCACCGGGGAAAACTGGTATCAGGGGCAGAAACCTGAGGAGCTGTCACAGATGTGAGCTAGAGCTTGACTCCTGAACCCACGGCCATGGCTGGCCCTTGACTTCTACTCATGGTGGGCCCCTCCCTTCCCCACTTCCCTGGTGGCTTTTTCTACCTGGGAGATTTCTGCAAGGATGATTCCTCGGTACTGCTTGCCCTGTCCCAGGGCCTCCATGTCAGCCAGGAAGTCTCTCCTGTCCTGGATTTCCTTCACCACTGGACAGCAGAGAAGGCCGTCAGCACACAGGGCAGTGGGGGCTCTGTGAAGGGTGTGGGGGCAGCAGATGCTCCTCTTGGGGAGAGGAAGCCTCTATTGTCAAAATGGTGTTTCTCGCTTCTTGGCCCTCAGGGATTCCCCCATCCAATTATGGGCCCCTGCACACATTGTCCCCACCCCCCACATGACTGGCCCGTGGGTGGCTTACACTCTTCAAACCGGTCCAGCTCAGGGGCTGGGGCCTCCTGTTGCACAGGAGGGGCCTTTCTTTTCTGCTCCTCTGGGTCCTTCCCAGTGGCAAAGATACTTTGGAGTCTTCGTTTCTCCTTCTCTAGATCTCCTGCAGGGCCCGGAAACGGCCTATGTAGGTTGTGAAGGGTGCCCCCTCATGGTCTGTGTCCCCGGTCGCACAAGGATGCTGCGAGTGCCCAGCCATGCGAACGGGGCTTCTGCAGCCCCAGCCTCTTCCACCCTGGGTACACCTGAGCATGGCATGTGAAGGTAGGTGGGAAGAGGTTGAAAGAACCAGGAAAAGGGCTTTGTCATAACCCACACACTGCTTTGGTGCACAGCAGGGCTAAGAAAGCTCAGGAACCTCCTAGGGCCTCAGTGATGCCTGGAGTGGCAACCTGTGCATAGATCGGGTGGGGAGATGTTAGCAGTGTCTGGGCCAAAAGTTACGTCCAATGCCCCGTGGGAAGAGGGGACGAATGGCTCCATGGAGTGGGCTAGAGTGCAGAGGAGCTCAATTCCAGGGGCCACATGAGGGCAAGAGAACAGTGGCCTTGAGGCCTGAGAGCCAAACGGTCATCAGGGACTCGTAGAATCCAGTTAGTCATGAGCGTTCTGGAAAATGAAAAAGGAGGATTGCCTAATTGGTTTCCCTGCACCCTGACCACCCCTAAGCTAACATGTGCCACGGCTGAAGAGCATGAGTTCTTCATGAGTATGAAAAGCATTAGAATGTGGTTAGCTACCTGCATACCTGCCCTAGGGGCTGCTAGTCCCCATCCCCACCCAGGGAGATGGGTGAGAGGCCCCAGCTGAGGCCTTCTCACTCACGGGTGGCTTGAGGCCTGAACTGCTCCCGGCTGTAGGCTCCGTTGGCTCGGCACACGCTGGCGGGCCGCAGGTGGGAATGGGCTGCCAGGATGGGAGGCAGGTAGATGGGCGAGGCTGGCTGCTTGGAAGGGGAGACCCTCTGGCTGGATGTTGGGCTGCATTGTAGAGGCAAAGTGTCTCCTCCTGGAGGGGGGAAGTGTTGGGATGGGAGGACCTAACTGGCTTTTGTTTTTTATAAATAAAAGTGATACCTGCCTGTTATAACAAGTAAAATAGTACAGAAGAGTTTTCCCTTCTCCCCTCCAATCCCACCCCCCCTACAATGAGCAATGGTAACAATTTGGTGGGCACTTTTCTTACTTGCGGATGCTTATACAAACATGTTGAAAGATAAATGTGCATATTTCATATATGCATGTAAGATTCTTTTTTCAAACACTGGATCATACTGTAATGTATTCAGTAACAGACTCTCCAGTTAACAATTTATCATGGACATTTTCCCAGATCAATCCATTTATATTTAACTTATTTTTTATAGCTATATACTAGTCCTTAGAATGGATACATTATTTATTCAGCTAGCCTCCTAGTTTTAGAAATTCAGGTTGTTTCCAGGCTTTTTTGTTTGTTTTTTACTACTACAAACAATGCTGCAATAAACATTCTTGTACATCAGATCTCTGTACTGGTGCTCTTATTTCTGTAGATGGGTTCCTAAAACTGTCTGCTTGGTCCACAGGCAGGGAGGGACAGTTTGGATTGTAACAGATGCCTGTGCCTTCTGCTGTCTGTTGCCCTCCCTTGGCCATGCCTGAGGCTCCTCCCCTGGCTAGCCAAGTATGTGACCTATCTGGTCAGTGGTCTCCTTCTCCCAACTGCCCTAAAGCCCAGCTTAGAGCAGGCCCATCCCGTTTGGATCCGGCCCTGTCTATATTTTCGACCTGTCCACTCCTATATGCATTGGCAAATGTGCACTGGGCATCTACCCTGATCCAGGCCTTGGACACTGGGGGAAAGTGGGAAGTGTGACAAAGTCCTGCCCTCCTGGTGGGGGACGGGTACAGAGGACGATGAAATAAGTGTCACATACCGTGTAGTACATGAGATGGCTGGAGCATGGGGTGTGTCACAGTGGGGCTCACAGTTTTAATAGGGTAGCCAGGGTAGGCCTCAGGAAGGGGAATACATTTGAGAAAAGACCCCAGAGTGGTGGGGAGGCCAGCTCTGCAGGTATTTTGACGGAGAGCATTCCAGGCAGAGGGAACGGCTAGAGCAAAGGTGCTCGGGTGGGAGTGTGCCTGGAGTGTCTAAGTGACAGCGAGGAAACTGGGTGAGCAGGGCAAGTAGAGGTCAGAGGTCATGGGGGCCCCTGGAAAGCCTGGTTTTACTTTGTATGAGGTAGGAAGCCATTTGAGGGTTTTGAGCAGAGGAGGTGCCCTTTGGCTGCTGTTGAAAATCCAGCATATACTGGCCAGGATTACTGGCCAGTAATCCTAGCACTCTGGGAGGCCAAGGTGGGAGGAATTGCTTGAGGTTAGGAGTTCTAGACCAGCCTGAGCAAGAGCGAGAACCCATCTCATCTAAAAATAGAAAAAATTAGCCGGGTATGGCGGCGAGTGCCTGTAGTCCCAGCTACTTGGGAGGCTAAGGCAGGAGGATCGCTTGAGCCCAGGAGTTTGAGGTTGCTGTGACCTAGGCTGACGCCACGGCACTCTAGCCCCGGCGACAGAGTGAGACTCTGTCTCAAAAAAAAAAGAAAAAAAAAAAAGTCAGTCAAAAGTGATGCTGTGTGTTACTGACCGTATCAACAATGACAGCAGTGCTAGCATAAAGATCCTGTGCCAATGAACCGGTTATGCCATGTGGGTTTGTTTACATGTGTGGAAGAAACTAGTTCCTGAATTATTAATTTAATTATTTAATTATAAATTATCCTCGTGGGGAGCCTTGGGAGCCCGTTAGTAAGTATGGAACGCTGTAAGTTGGGTGGTCCGTAACCTGGGAAACTAACTACCTGTGCTATGCTTCTTCCTATACCTACATATCTATGATAAAGTTTAACTTACAAAGTAAGCACAGTAAGAGATTAACAACAACAATTAATAATAAAATAGAACAATTATAACAATAGACTAATAAAATTTACATGAATGTGTGCTCTCGCTCTCTCAAAAATATCTTATTGTACTTTACTCACCCATTTTCAGACCTAGGTTGTCCAAGGTTAACTGAAAACACAAAAACTGCAGATAAGGGCTTGGGGGGACTACTGTACTTTCACTTTTTTGTTGTCCTTAAAAATAAATAATGCAACGTGTGGCGAGAGGTGAGCTGTGAGCTGTGCAAAGGCTTTGCCTATTGCAATTTAGCCAATTGCCTTGTTTTTGCTAGCTAAGCTATAAGTGGATACAACTATGAATAAGAAACATACATTTCCTTTGGAGGACACATATGGTCTGTAACAGGGAGGGACAGATTGCAGAGACGACAGTGTTGAGACTCTCTTGGCTGGGCAGGGGGTCTCAAGTGGGCCATGATCCCTTGGGAAGGTTGGCTAGAGCCAGACTGCAGGAGGTTTACTGTGCCAGTACCCATATCTGGGTAAGAGAAGCAAGGGCCCCAGGAACAAGGAGCAGAAATGTGATTCCCTTTTTCTTTAGAGTCAGGGTGTTGCTCTGTTGCTTGGGCTAGAGTACAGTGGCATCATCATAGCTCACTGCAACCTCAAACTTCTGGGATCAAGCGATCCTCCTGCCTAGGCCTTCCGAGTAGCTGGGACTACAGGTATGCACCACCAGCCCAGCTAATTTTTCTTTTTTTGTGTAGAGAGAGCAAGTCTTGCTCTTGCTCAGTCTGGTCTCGAACTCCTGGCCTCAAGCTATCTTCCTGCCTTGGCCTCCCAGACTGCTGGGATTACAGGTGTGAGCCACTGTGCCTGGCCTGTCTTTATTTTTTTAAATGAAATCTTCTCTCCCTTAACATGGAGGAGCATTAAAAATATGGCCCCCAATCCTTCTGCCAAGGAAGCCTCTGTGGACTGCCTCTTACTTTTCATGGTGTCCATGATGTGGCGCTGCTGGAAGTTAGTCAGTTTGGATTCCTTCATCATCACTGCGAGACAAAGCATTCTATGAGGTCTCCTGGGCTGCAGGCAGATGCCTTCATGTCACCCTACTGAAATTTAAAATTGCATTACCTCCTATCCCCCATTCTGCACTGAGAATGCCCTCTTTACCTTTCCTTCATTCTTTCTATAGCACTCATCACTACCTCAGTTTTATATATTTTATTTATTTGTTACCCTTCTACTATATTAGCTCTAGGAGAGCAAGAATTTTTTGGTTTTTTTTCACTGCTGTATCCCTAGCACCTAAAAACAATGCTTAAAGCACACTGTAGGCTTTAAAATGTTTTTGTTGAGTAAATGAATGAATTCATACTTGTTCATTCATGTGTGAGGGGCTAGAGCTACAACCGAGCTGAAACAGGTACAATCCCTGCGTGATGGAATTCACGACCTAGAGGGATAGATGGGACACTAAACTAAATGTCTGATTATAGGTGCGCTAAGCCCAGAGAAGGAAAATGTATTTGATAGTGTGAGGGCACACAACAGTTGGTCTGACTCTGGTGGTGGTAGGGAGGAGATAAGGCTTCCTGGGGAGAGTTGAAAGTGTGATCTAAAGGATACATAGGAGTTAACTACTCTAAATTTCTTCATTCTTTGACTTTTGGCCGCTTGCAAGCTGTAGCACCTTGAGCCTTTCTGAAACCCCAGGATCCTTATCTGTAAAAGGAAACAGCAGTTGCTGAGCCACAGGTCATGAATGGAAGAACTGAGTTAAAGGGCCCCGTTCTTCTCGTGTCCTTTAATGCACTGACCTCTAAGCAGCTCATAGGTCCCTGGGGTGTAAGTGGTTGGCTTGGTGCAGCGCCAGAACCCGGTTCCTTTGGTCACTGTCTCCCCCGTCTCCTGTGAAGCCATGGGAGGGCCCTGAGAGGGAAAGAGGCAATGACATACCCCGTGTCTCCCAGCCCCAATCTCTGCTCCCCCACTCCCAATGCCCCCAAAGTCTGGGAGCGGGGAGCGGGCCGCAGAGAATCGTGACCCCACCAGTTAACATAGCGACAGTGCCCAATTCTCCCACCCTGACACACAGGCAGATACGCCCGTGGCAAGGTCGAGAGGAAGGGAGCGTTAAGATAGCCGTGGTCACAGTAGTACCTATTGGGGATAGGCCAAAATTGAAACCTCACCCTAAAGAGCCCGGCTGGGTGCCCTCTTCCGACAGAGAGCGGCGTGTGGGCTCCGGGAGACGGTGACCACTGCTCTGCCGAAGCACGCGTGCCAGTGACCACGCGCGCCAGTGACCTGCAGAAATCCTGCGCGACCTGGACTGCTGACGGTTCTGGCTACCATAGTAACGCGCGCCCGCCGATCCACGCATGCGCGCCTTTGCCACTTTCCGCCTGCCTCCCGGAAGTGACTTCCTCTGCGTCACGGCGCCGGCGCGGGATTCGCGTGGTGCCGCGCTAGGTGGGGTCGCGCTGTTCGGGGGTCTCCACGCGGGTTAGGGGCTTATCGCGGGGTTGCTGCGGCGAGGGTGTCATGTCAGACAACGAGGACAAGTGAGTGCGGGAGCGGGGTGGTCTTTGCGGGAGCCTCGGAAGGGGCGGGTGAGGCGGGGCCTGGGTCGAAGGCGGCTGAGGAGCCTGGCGTCGGGGACAGTGTCTGAGGGGACTGGGGTCCGGGGGCGGCCAGCGGAGCTGGAGAAGGGAATGGCGGAGAACCAGGAGCGTAGCCCAGGCCAGAGGCTGGGCACAGACAAGCCCAGGCTTGAGGGTCTGGAGAGGTTCCATGAAAGGGGTGTCTTTCAGCAAACTTTCCACTGAGCGGGTCCCTGTCTTGTAAGGGGAATATTGAGGCGAAGTAGGTATAGCCCCTGCTCTCCAGGTACTCAGTTTCTAGAGGAGGGGACAGTCCCACAAGCAAGCGGATAATGCGGATTATGTGAGCTTCTGTAGTAGGAGAAGTATGTAGTGTGTAAATTATCCAGAGGAGCGTCTGTGCAGTTTCACCGGTCGTAAAAGTCTGGAAGGGTCGCAGTCATGTAGGTGAGAGAAGGCTGTGGCTTGAACTAGGGTGATAGCAGTGGAGGTGGTGAAAATGGTTTTGAATTCTGGAAATAGTTTAAAAGTACAGCCAAAAAGATTTCCTGGTGGATTGATGTGTATGGTCAGAGGAGAGATCTATTCTTAAGATAAAAACATAAGAGTCTTGCAGTTCTGGGAGCTGGAGAGGCTGAGGTGGGATGATTGCTTCAAACCAGCCTGGGGCAACATAGGGAAACCCTGTCTGTGGAAAAAAAAAAAACAAAAACAAGTGGGGGTTGTCAGCAGAAGTATATTAGTCAAAACTAAGACACAGGTGGAACCACGATAGGAGTGTCAGTAGAGAAGAGATGACTGATGACACAGTGTTAGAGCATTCCAACATTGAGTGCCTGGGGGAAAGAGGAGAAGCCATCGAGGTGGGGGAACACCACCAAGAGAGGGAGATGTCCTTGCAGTCACTTGAGAGTGAATGGAACAGGAGGGAGTGGCCTAGTGTGCCCACTGATCAAGGTAAATGAGAACAAGAATTGTCGATGGGATTTAGCAATGTGGAGATCATTAAAAAACTTGAAGAGAGTGGTTTTGATGGAGCTGTGGGGGTAAAAGTCTTAGTGGAGGGAGAGTATGGCAGAATGGGAAGAGATGAATTGGAGACAGTGAGGATGGACAGCTATTTCATAAATTTTGCCCCAAAGGGAAGCATGGGGCTGGGTGCGGTGGCCCATGCCTGTAATCCTAGCACTCTGGGAGGCCGAGGCAGGAGGATCACTTGAAGCCTGGAGTTCTAAATCAGCGTGGGCAAAATATTGAGACCCTGTCCCTACAGAAAATAAAAGGGTGTGGTGGTATGTACCTGTAGTCCCAGCTACTCAGGAGGCTGAGGCAGGATTACTGGAGCCCAGGAGTTTGAGGTTACAGGGAGCTGTCCACGATGTCTCTGCACTCCAGCCTGGGCAACTGACTGAAACCCTGTCTCAAACAAACAAACAAAACCAAAGGGGAGCATGGAATTAGGGCTGTGGGAGGAAGGAAAAGAGGTTTTAAGGTTTTTTTTTTTTTTTAAAGAGGGGACATAACGTGTTGAAATGCTGATGGGAGTGATCTAGTAGAGAGGGAAACAGTGATGATGAATGAGTCCTAGCAAAATTTGGGACCAGATGGGGAAAGATTGAAGGAGTAAAACGGAACAAAAGTTTGATTCACTTGTTAAGTAGGTATTTACTGAGTGCCTTTTACATAGCGGGTGAGACACAGATCTCTGCCCTCTTTGATTTTAGTAAGTGATGCTCTGACTCACTGATTTCTTCTTGTTACAGTTTTGATGGTGACGACTTTGATGATGTAGAGGAGGACGAAGGGTTAGATGACTTGGAGAATGCCGAGGAGGTCAGTATTCAGTCTAAAGTCCCACCTCTGCAGCCCAGGCTGCCAAATAGCCCAGCAGGTGCTAATTATCTGAGTGTATCTGCCTGCTGTTTGTGGACAGAGCCCCTGCCATAAGCATCCCCAGTTAGAGTGAGCGGTGTTCCAGTCCTGGGTAGTGGAGTTGCCCTGCACAAGGTGGATCTGAAAGCTTTTGTCCGCTTAGTCCACAGCTTGCTATTTCTGGGGCATTTAGTGCACAGACAGGTGAAACATCTTTACTGGCATGTCTCCTTCATTCAGCAAACGTGCGTTGAATGTTATTAATGTGCCAGGTGCTCTGCAGGGTGGGGCTACTTAGGGAGCAAAGGGGAGAGTGACCTGGGATCAAGCTGGAGAGGTAAGCAGGGCCCAGATCTGGCAGGATTTTGTTGCCTGAAGGGAAGCCACTGACAAGTTTTGAGCAAGGGAGTGGCATGATCCAATTTACATTTTAGAAAGTGCATTCTGGCCTCAAGAGTGAGGAGCCAATTGGAGAGGGGCCAGGATGAAAGAAAGAAAGACCAATTAGGTAACTCTCTCTACCCTCCAGGGGAGAGACCCGTGGCTTGGACGTAGGTGCTGGTAGTGCAGGTGATGAGAAGGCAGGTGAAAGGGGTATTTTGGTGAATTGGATGTGGGGCTGTGAAAGTGGAAGATGACAAGGATGACTCTCAGGTTTATGGCTTGAGCAACGAGGTGGGTGGATTGCTAGCTTCAGGAATAAAGTACGGCTTTCTGTCCTGTGTGACTGATGGAGAAATGCTGTGCCTCCTGGAGAAAGAGGGATCCCTCTTTTTTTTTTTTTTTTAAGGCTAGGAAGCTGAAGCCCTTCATTTTGGATTTCCTCCCTCTGCATGGCACTTTCCAATACCTGTTCACTTGAGGCAGAAGCCTCCTTCTCCATCCTTCTGGTCCCTTCCTATCCCTGTCTATTGATTCCGCCTCCTAGATATGGCTCAGCTCTGTCTCTGTTTCTCCACTCCTCGTGTCTCAGCCTGGCCTAGAGTTCGTTGTTTGTCATCCGCATTTGTGCAGAAATTGTGACTGGTTTTCCTGCCTTTAGTCTTACTCCAGACTCCGTTGTGTGCTATTCTTCCAGAGTCCTCTTTCTTTTTCTTTTCTTTTTTTGCAGCCTGTGTGTTTGCCAGCAGAGTCCTCTTTCTTAACCTGCCTACAAGATTGGTTATTACTGGTATTCCTAAGTGGTCTCTCTGCTTCTACTCTTGCCCCCTACAGAATATTCTCAACAGAGTATCCAGAATGATCCTTTTTTTTTTTTTTTTTTTCGTTAAAGATGGGTTTTCACTATGTTGCCTCAAACCCAGAGCTCAAGTGATCCTCCAGCTTTAGCCTCCCAAGTAGCTGGGACTAGAGGTGTGCGCCATTGCGCCCAGCTCTCTGTTTACATATTTTACTATCTAATTTTATTTATTGTCTGTCACTTCTCACTATACTGTAAGCACTATAGGGGAAATAATTTTTATCTGTCTTATTCACTGCTTTATCTAAACCACTTAGAATACTGTCTCACATATAGTAAGTGTTCAATAGATATTTGTTGACTTAATTATTTATCAAAGAATTTATTCTCTTGCCTAAAAGCCTCTATGCACCTTTTGCTCTAATCATAGTCCACAATTAGTTGTTCAAACCTATTATGTTCTCTTCCTCCTCTGTGCCTTTGCACATGTTATTTAGCTTGCTGAGAATGGCCTTCCCTTCCTTCTTGGTTTGGTAGCTCCTACTCATCCTTCTAGATTAGCTCAAGTCTCATCCCTGACAGTCTTCCTAACCCCGAGTGTGTGTGAGCTATCCCCACCTTCTCATTAACTCTGGGTTGCATGCCGCATGCCTTCAGAGCACCCTCTGTTCTGTTTATTCTTTTGTCTCCCCCTCTAGACTGTGAATTCTTTGAGAGCAGAAACTCCCCTAACTTTCTGTCTCAGTACCTATTGCAATGTCTGGCACAAAACAGATGGTTAATAAGTAATTGTTAAATGTGTGAATATATAACTATTCTTGCCTTCACCCTAACTTTTCCAGCCACTTGGCTCGTTGGTTCAGTCACCCTAATCTGAAAGATGGAGTGCTTGTTCCTAGCTTCCTGCTTAGGGTGATTCATTGTGCTTAGGACTTCTTTTCTAGGGCCAACATTCTGGGACTGCCCCATTGCCAGGCCTTCTGCCTTTCTCTCTTTTGGATAAGGCAGCTGGCTCTGGGATTCTGATCACGGTTCCTCTTTATTACTGGATCTGAGACTTTGGCCAAGTTTAGCTGACTTCAGGCCTCTGAAATGGGGACTATAATCCCTGCCACATAAGGTTATTGTGAGGATTCAGTGAGGTGTTAGTAAGCAGTCGCATGGTCCCTGGCATGCTTTAAGCATCAATGGTAGTGGTAGCGGTGTCATCATCACCCTTCCCTCAACCCAGAAAAATGCCCTCTGAGATTTTCCCTCTTTTTTGTCTTGGTGTCTAGGAAGGCCAGGAGAACGTGGAGATACTCCCCTCTGGGGAGCGACCTCAGGCCAACCAGAAGCGAATCACTACACCATACATGACTAAGTATGAGCGAGCCCGTGTGCTGGGCACCCGAGCTCTCCAGATCGCGTGAGTGTGTGTTCCTTCACTATCTTGTCCGTCAGTCATGCCACATCGAGCCCCTGAGCCACTGATCCGGCCTAATCTGGCACCTGAAAACAGACACCCCCTGCTCTCACATTCTAAACAAAGGTAGTGCTGCCCTTGTGTGCCAGGCATTGTGCTAGACCCCTGCCCTCCAGGAGCTTGTGATCTAATAGAAGTAGGACAGGAACACCTGAGAAGTCAAATAACAGTACAGGAGAAAAATAACCATAAAAAACCAGAACTAGATGATT